TTCTCTTAACGTGTAATAAGCCACCCGTTTGAAAAAAAATTAACCCGTAAAAACAAAGTTTTTCACTATAAATCCTTTATGCATGGCGGCTAGAGTCCTCTCGTCCTCTGGCTTGAGATGGCTGCCACCTATCGGTCAGATGATTGCCTGCCACCATTAAGCAATTGGTAATTAAATATAATTTATTTTTTCCTAAAAAGTGTAAAAGTTAGGAAAAAAAATTTAACGAGAATAAATTGTCACGCACAACGAGTCTGTGTGCAAAATGTCAGCTCGATTGGATCACGGGAAGTGGGTTAAAAAACGACCGAAAGATTTGCACGGTCGTAAGCGCGCAAGCAAGCACGCAAGCACGCAAGCGAACTTAATATAAAGGATTTAATTACAATTGACACATTCACGTGTTTCAGATTCTGCCGTGCATTTAATCATTCTCTTTTTATATTTGTGTCGACACATGACGCCGCAAAGCCTGGCAGCACGACTGCTTGTCCCTGGACTCCGTGAGACGAGGGAAGAATCTGATTTACTCTTTACCGACAAGTGGCGGCAAGACGCTCGTGGCAGAGATCCTCATGCTGAGGCAGCTGCTCTGCAAGAGAACGGACGCTCTGCTCATTCTTCCCTACGTTGCCATCGTCCAGGAGAAGGTAACGATCGCTTTTGTACACGCACATTTCCACACCGACACAGCAGCATAAATGCGGTTATACGAATGACTCTTTGGTTCTTTCGGTAAAGTGACGTATAAAGAGAAAATGATCAATTAAATACTAGCATACGACGTTTCAATTGCAACGCAAGCAATCGTCATCAGGTATAAATGAAATAGAAACACAAATCTAGTATACTTAGAAATGTAATGTAATACAACAGAGAGTCGGATAACATAACAGTCAACACCCTACCTGGTTGATTACGTTCTTCCTGAGAATACTAAATTTGAGAGAGATTAAACAGAACCAGAGACATATAGACAGACATATAAGCAGACAGATCACAGAGATACATAGAGAGAGAGAGACGTACAAAGGCACACAGAGAAACCACGTCTCTGTGTCGAGGCCTATGTTTTGTCTCTATGTAAAGTCCTCCAAGATAAGTCAACTGAGGCAGCCGGGAATTTGGAAGTCTCGTTGAAATATTTCCGTCTTGGCTTAGGAACAGATACTCGGATGCAGAGTACAATCTCGGGTTCATCAATTATTCCCACACGACACACAATTGTGATGTGTCGCCGCTGCTACTGCTGCTGCTGCTACTGTCGGGGTCGCTAGCCCCCGAGATCCCTCCCTCGATGATGCTTACGGCCGGGCTAACCTCATCAATCGCCCCCCCGCTGCTGAGCGAACCGCTGCTAGGTCCTCACCCATGGTGTGGGAGCCGTCGCCCGAGGATTCCCCTCCCCCGCGGGTCCGCGTAGTAGGCATGGTTGGATACCGCGTAGTATTATGTCCCCCTTTACGCTACCACGATACCTCCCTTTCCTAATCGCGTACCTGCGACCCACACGGAGCGAACGTACGCACACACACACACACCGCTCCGTGCACTCCAACTCCACACTGACTACTCGCGTTATGATCGTGCACCTGTATCACACACGGAGTGAACACACGCGACACCTACTCTCGCACCGCTCTGCGCAGCGCTCCCCCGAGGCGAGCCGCAGCACTACAAAACCACTGCGTACACACGCTCACCCACGCGCTCACACTGACACAAGATCACGCGAGACCACGCTTCGCTATTAATGATTTATTATCCGCTACCTGGAACTAGATGTTAAATCAGTGAGTCGACGAGGCTGGCTTACGCTGATACCTCTATACCTATTCCCCATTTATCTGCTATGATTCTAATTCACCTTCTTACTCACTGTTAAGTGTCCACGGCGGTCCGCTGATCCTTGTGTTAACCGCGTGCCTCGGTGCGTCGCACGGACGTCCGGGTCGCTGGCTCGAGCTGCGTCTGGTCGCCTGGCGCTGGAGTAAGAGAGCGATTTCCCCTCTGCGCTCCTCTATTTATCCTCCCTACCTCAAAGGGGATGCTGCGCTGAACAATGGGCTCGCGCACCGAGCCCGCGCACGGCGGTTCCGGGCGCTTTTGATCTGCTAATCAGTGAGCGGCGTTGGCGGCGTACATCCTAATTAATCCCTTACCCTTCCTAACAATGGGGCCTGCGCGCTCAAGCGTAATTATCCCAACCCTCCATGACTATGCGCAACAGCTCCTGCGGTCCCGCTATTCATGCTGTCCCGTCCCTCCCCTGCTTGCCCTCGACCCGTGGGGGTGTGTGTGGGGGGAAATGCGCCTCAACCGCGGTGGCCGAATGCCCCATGCCGCGACCACACATATTAAGGCTGGTCGCAGCGCCGCGGCGCAACGTAGCACGGGGAGGTCGTCCAATTCCCTGATCGCCGGAAACCGTGAGAGTTAACCCCGATAAGGGTTTTTCGGATAAAAACCGGTCGGCCAGGTGACCTCCCCTCGGAGCTCTATGGGGGGGGGGGGGAAATGCGTGCGGGTGTGTTCGTGTGAGGTGAGGTGAGGGGGACGCGGGGTTGGCTCCGTTGCTTGGTGGTGGCGAGGTCGGGGATTTGGGCGCCTGCCGAACGGCTTCATGGCGGCGGCATCACACTACTACTGCTGCTACTACGCTGCTGCTGCTGCTCGAACAGGTGCGGAGCCTGTCTGTGTTTGGTGTGGAGCTTGAAATCTTCATAGAGGAATACGCGGGAAGCAAGGGGCGCATGCCACCGCGAAAACACCGAAAGAAGAATTCTCTCTACATCGCCACCATTGAGAAAGCCCACAGCCGGTCAACGCCCTTCTAGAGGAGGGGCGCATGAAGGAGATTGGCCTGATCGTTGGATGAGGTATGCGGCATTCATTATTTAATTACAGAGAATAATTGGCATCCTGCAAATGTCATTACAAATGTTACGTATTAATGTTCATCATCGTCATAATCAGCCGTCGTGAATCTACTTCTGGATGAGGGCATCCCCAAGCCTCCGCCATCTTGCACAGGCCCACAATGCAACAGTCCACCCAGCAGCAGCAGCACACGAGCTGTGACTCAGTGCAATGTAGTGTTGAGTCTCATTTGCAGCGACGTACTAATGGTTTGATAATTGTTTTTTTACCCTTCTATCTGGCAACAAAACTGACACATTTTTTACGAGGCGTCATGTTTGCATAGACCACAATACCTGCAGTCATAATACAAACAAAAAACATAACTCTGATAATATGCACTGTCCTTGAAGTTGATTGGTCCACACCCAAGACAGCTTTCCTTAGAGCCTTTTGGCGTCATCTGGTCCAACCCATGTGAGACTAGGCTCTAAGGAAAGCTGTCTCTCTGGGTGTGGACCAATCAACTTCAAGGACCATGTGAGACTAGGCTCTAAGGAAAGCTGTCTGGGTGTGGGCCAATCAACTTCAAGGACAGTGCATACATTATCAGAGTTGTTTTTTTGTTTGTATTATGACTGCAGGTATTGTGGTCTATGCAAACATGACGCCTCGTAAAAAATGTGTCAGTTTTGTTGCCAGATAGAAGGGTAAAAAAACAATTATCAAACCATTAGTACGTCGCTGCAAATGAGACTCAACACTACATTGCACTGACGTCACAGCTCGTGTGCTGCTGCTGCTGGGTGGACTGTTGCATTGTGGGCCTGTGCAAGATGGCGGAGGCTTGGGGATGCCCTCATCCAGAAGTAGATTCACGACGGCTGATTATGACGATGATGAACATTAATACGTAACATTTGTAATGACATTTGCAGGATGCCAATTATTCTCTGTAATTAAATAATGAATGCCGCATACCTCATCCACAACGATCAGGCCAATCTCCTTCATGCGCCCCTCCTCTAGAAGGGCGTTGACCAGGCTGTGGGCTTTCTCAATGGTGGCGATGTAGAGAGAATTCTTCTTTCGGTGTTTTCGCGGTGGCATGCGCCCCTTGCTTCCCGCGTATTCCTCTATGAAGATTTCAAGCTCCACACCAAACACAGACAGGCTCCGCACCTGTTCGAGCAGCAGCAGCAGCAGTAGTAGCAGCAGTAGTAGTGTGATGCCGCCGCCATGAAGCCGTTCGGCAGGCGCCCAAATCCCCGACCTCGCCACCACCAAGCAACGGAGCCAACCCCGCGTCCCCCTCACCTCACCTCACACGAACACACCCGCACGCATTTCCCCCCCCCCCCCATAAAGCTCCGAGGGGAGGTCACCTGGCCGACCGGTTTTTATCCGAAAAACCCTTATCGGGGTTAACTCTCACGGTTTCCGGCGATCAGGGAATTGGACGACCTCCCCCGTGCTACGTTGCGCCGCGGCGCTGCGACCAGCCTTAATATGGTGTGGTCGCGGCATGGGGCATTCGGCCACCGCGGTTGAGGCGCATTTCCCCCCACACACACCCCCACGGGTCGACGGGGCAAGCAGGGGAGGGACGGGACAGCATGAATAGCGGGACCGCAGGAGCTGTTGCGCATAGTCATGGAGGGTTGGGATAATTACGCTTGAGCGCGCAGGCCCCATTGTTAGGAAGGGTAAGGGATTAATTAGGATGTACGCCGCCAACGCCGCTCACTGATTAGCAGATCAAAAGCGCCCGGAACCGCCGTGCGCGGGCTCGAGGTGCGCGAGCCCATTGTTCAGCGCAGCATCCCCTTTGAGGTAGGGAGGATAAATAGAGGGCGCAGAGGGGAAATCGCTCTCTTACTCCAGCGCCAGGCGACCAGACGCAGCTCGAGCCAGCGACCCGGACGTCCGTGCGACGCACCGAGGCACGCGGTTAGCACAAGGATCAGCGGACCGCCGTGGACACTTAACAGTGAGTAAGAAGGTGAATTAGAATCATAGCAGATAAATGGGGAATAGGTATAGAGGTATCAGCGTAGGCCAGCCTCGTCGACTCACTGATTTAACATCTAGTTCCAGGTAGCGGATAATAAATCATTAATAGCGAAGCGTGGTCTCGTGATCTTGTCGTGCAGTGTGAGCGCGTGGGTGAGCGTGTGTACGCAGTGGTTCTGTAGTGCTGCGGCTCGCCTCGGGGAGCGCTGCGCAGAGCGGTGCGAGAGTAGGTGTCGCGTGTGTTCACTCCGTGTGTGATACAGGTGCACGATCATAACGCGAGTAGTCAGTGTGGAGTTGGAGTGCACGGAGCGGTGTGTGTGTGTGCGTGCGTACGTTCGCTCCGTGTGGGTCGCAGGTACGCGATTAGGAAAGGGAGGTATCGTGGTAGCGTAAAGGGGGACATAATACTACGCGGTATCCAACCATGCCTACTACGCGGACCCGCGGGGGAGGGGAATCCTCGGGCGACGGCTCCCACCATGGGTGAGGAACCTAGCAGCGGTTCGCTCAGCAGCGGGGGGGCGATTGATGAGGTTAGCCCGGCCGTAAGCATCATCGAGGGAGGGATCTCGGGGGCTAGCGACCCCGACAGTAGCAGCAGCAGCAGTAGCAGCGGCGACACATCACAATTGTGTGTCGTGTGGGAATAATTGATGAACCCGAGATTGTACTCTGCATCCGAGTATCTGTTCCTAAGCCAAGACGGAAATATTTCAACGAGACTTCCAAATTCCCGGCTGCCTCAGTTGACTTATCTTGGAGGACTTTACATAGAGACAAAACATAGGCCTCGACACAGAGACGTGGTTTCTCTGTGTGCCTTTGTACGTCTCTCTCTCTCTATGTATCTCTGTGATAGTCTGCTTATATGTCTGTCTATATGTCTCTGGTTCTGTTTAATCTCTCTCTCAAATTTAGTATTCTCAGGAAGAACGTAATCAACCAGGTAGGGTGTTGACTGTTATGTTATCCGACTCTCTGTTGTATTACATTACATTTCTAAGTATACTAGATTTGTGTTTCTATTTCATTTATACCTGATGACGATTGCTTGCGTTGCAATTGAAACGTCGTATGCTAGTATTTAATTGATCATTTTCTCTTTATACGTCACTTTACCGAAAGAACCAAAGAGTCATTCGTATAACCGCATTTATGCTGCTGTGTCGGTGTGGAAATGTGCGTGTACAAAAGCGATCGTTACCTTCTCCTGGACGATGGCAACGTAGGGAAGAATGAGCAGAGCGTCCGTTCTCTTGCAGAGCAGCTGCCTCAGCATGAGGATCTCTGCCACGAGCGTCTTGCCGCCACTTGTCGGTAAAGAGTAAATCAGATTCTTCCCTCGTCTCACGGAGTCCAGGGACAAGCAGTCGTGCTGCCAGGCTTTGCGGCGTCATGTGTCGACACAAATATAAAAAAGAATGATTAAATGCACGGCAGAATCTGAAACACGTGAATGTGTCAATTGTAATTAAATCCTTTATATTAAGTTCGCTTGCGTGCTTGCGTGCTTGCTTGCGCGCTTACGACCGTGCAAATCTTTCGGTCGTTTTTTAACCCACTTCCCGTGATCCAATCGAGCTGACATTTTGCACACAGACTCGTTGTGCGTGACAATTTATTCTCGTTAAATTTTTTTTCCTAACTTTTACACTTTTTAGGAAAAAATAAATTATATTTAATTACCAATTGCTTAATGGTGGCAGGCAATCATCTGACCGATAGGTGGCAGCCATCTCAAGCCAGAGGACGAGAGGACTCTAGCCGCCATGCATATAAAGGATTTATAGTGAAAAACTTTGTTTTTACGGGTTAATTTTTTTTCAAACGGGTGGCTTATTACACGTTAAGAGAACAAAAACGCCGATTAAAATGATTAACTTGCGTGCAGGACGACAAAAATGTTTCAACCATCACCTAATGTGTGAGAAATTGGATTAGGCTTGACAGCTAACATCACGACACTGGTGATGTGTAAACGTTTACAGTACGAATCAAATAAGCAGTGATATGCTGTTATAACAAAAACAAATTGGTAAAATACATTTAGCAAAATTCCACCATGTACTAAAAATTAATTTCTCAACCCCCCCCCCTCTCTCTGCCCCCTCACTCTTTGCCCCCCTCTCTGTACCCCCCACCCCCTCTCTCTACCCCCTCTCTCTATCTAAGGCCTCGACACAGAGGCGTCGTTTCTCTGTGTGCCTATGTTGTGTCTCTCTGTGTCTCTGTGTTGTCTCTCTCTGCTTATATGTCTGTCTGTGTGTCTATATTGTGTGTCTCTGTGTCTGTGTGCCTATGTTGTTTGTCTCTCTCTGTGTGTCTCTGTGTTGTCTCTCTCTGCTTTATGTGTCTGTCTGTGTGTCTCCTGTTCTGTTTAATCTCTCTCTTAAATTTAGCAATCTTTGGAAGAGCGTAATCAATCCAGGTAGGGTGTTGACCGTTATGTTAGCCGACTATCTGTGTTGTATTGCATTATATTTCTAAGTTTACTAGGCTTTGTTTTCTCTTTCATTTGTACCTGATGACGATTGCTTGTGTTGCAATCGAAATGTCGTTTGCTAGTATTTAATTCATATTTTCTCTTTCTACGTGACTTTACCGAAAGAACCAAAGAGTAAGTCCGCCAAATACTATTCAATTACCATTTCTCCCACGAGAGAAAAAAAAAGATATGTTGGCATGAAAAAAAAACCGAGAGACAGTTTCGCGTAATATCCGAGTGTAAAAAACAGCACACATTACCGTAGAGCTCTTTAATGCCACGCTGTTGTTGCAGAAGGCTGTGCACCTTCGTGGGAAGCCCATAGAAAGGCCCAATCTCAAACTGGCTGTCATCAGGCACAAGTCTCCGTGGCGATCTGCCTCTCGTGCGACAGCGCAGACTCCTGCAGGTGCCTGGTGCGCGAGACCACGCGGGTAGCTGCCGCCCACGCGTTTGCCACGAGCGTTTTCTTGATGCGATCTCTTATGCTCGTGCCCTTGTTGGCTACATCTGCGGCTACTTTTATATTTTCCACTCCAAGCGCATTTGCTGTTGAAGAACCGTCGGCTCTTCCGCGAGCGATGTGGTCAGCCTCTTCACTAAAGGCAGCATTTGAGTCATTTGCTTCCGAAAGTGCAGAAGCACAAGTGGGTTTTGGCGGTTTTCTGGTGGTAATAGTACATTCTAAATCGTCCGTTAAGATATCAGCCAATTTTATCTCATCCTCCGAATGAAAGCAACCTGTTTGTGCGTCAGCTTGAGAATTAGACGTTAACGTGCGAATGGTTCCATCGAGCTTTGGAAGTTTTGCATTTTGAGAATTGCCTCTCGACGAGCTCCGAATGTCGTTTCCTACAATATTTGCGTAAAAACCGTGATGCGGCTCAGTCTGTACATTTTGTGCGATGTGTAGAGGATTATATTCTGTTCTCTTTAGTGTATTCTTATTCCAGTCACGAGGCAGCAATTGTTCCACATTGTGTGTTTTCATTTGACCAGTATTGTCACAGCCCAATATAGTCCCACAAGACAAAGCCGAGTGTTGCGTAAGCTTCTTGGGAAGCCACTTTTGTGGTTCTGGGTCTTTCTGAGTAAGATTGAACGTCTGTGAACAATTGTCTTGGTTGTGCTGTTTTTCAAGTAGTACATCCACGAGTGAGATGTCTCCTGCAACACTGTCACATTCCCCACGCATGGCATCGCTTCTGTCCTCACCATCACACTTCAAAGGGAAACAACGAATTCGCATCAGCAATGACTCTCGCGGACAACTTCCAATCCAAATAAGTTGCGAGTGTGTGGTGGGGTGCGGCGATGTTAAGGGGCCCTGGTTTTTCACGACCCTATTACAGTACTTCCTCTCCACAGGTGACTGATTGTTGGGAAAGCAATGCACGAAGTTACACATGTAACGAGTGGATTGTTATAGGTGATGGACGTGTAGAGGCTTTGAAATAGCTTTCTCGATATTGTTCCACATATTTGTATGGCTTTAGTGCTGTATCTATGAATGGATCATCCTGTCAGAGGTTGCAACCGGGTACCCGATACCCGGCTACCCTACCCGATACCCGGCTACCCGTACCCGGCCGGGTACGGGTACCCGTTTACGACCCTGGTGCGTCTGGGTACGGGTAGGCCGTGAGTCACTGGTGAGTAACCGTTTGTCACTCATTTCGGGTAGGGTACGGGTAGGATACGGCTACCTGTACCCGGCCGGGTACGGGCACGGGTACCCATTTGCGACCCTGGTGCGGTCGGGTACGGGTAAGGAATCAAAACCCGTTTGCGACCTCTGCATCCTGTACTGGACTATGAAAACAAAGTTCGTTTACCTCCGGCGCGTCGCAGCTGTTGCCTGATAAACCGAGCTTCTTCGCCACGACATCTGCGACAAAGACTTGCGAAGGGAGCTCTTTGCGATCATCAGGAGGATCCATGAATTTAAAGTCTCCACACGAATGGAATCCGTTGCCTCACGAGAATGTCTGCACGCCCACTTCGTCTTTTAGCCACACAGTGCACCACGACTTTGTCTTTGCTCGGTGTGAGAACCGCTTTCTCTCTGCTGCGTTTCACAGAATGAGACACATTCCAAATCAGCATTCTCACGACTCTGCAACTCAAACATTACCAACACTGACAAGGGGCCACACCACATTGTGTTAGTTACAAATAGGAAATAAACCGTGTGCTGTTGTAAAAAGTGTTTTACCGTTCCAGCAATGTTTTACTGACACACAACCATGGGTTTTTCATTGATCTAAATTTCATACTACAGTGATACCTCGGTTCACGAACTTAATTCGTGAACTGACTCTGGTCGCGAACCGAATTGGTCGTGAACCGAGGCACATTTTCCCACTAGGGTTCAATGTAAATCCGGTTAATCCGTTCTGACCTTTTTTTTTGGTTTTTGATACACAAAAATATAAACAAATGACAATACACATTAGTACTGTACAGTATAGTAATGTATAAGAGAGAACACTAACCTTGCTTGAGATAACTTCTGGCATGGAGGAAGGCAAGTGGAAGGCGGGTGGGAGACAGTAAGCACTCAAACGGGTGAACTGTACATTACAGTAAGTACAGTATTGGACAGTACAGTAGTACAGTACTGTATGTGCTAAAAAGCACACCAAAAATCTAAAAAGTCACTGAAAGTGTCTTCACAGTACTCACAGTACTTCTTTCTGTGTCTCTGCTTCTCTCCACGATCTTCCTACAGGAAGTCACGACCATGTGACAGCCTGGAATTAGCATAAAAATGGCCGCGGCTCCTGTTCGTGAACCGAAGCGGAGTTCGTGAACCGGAGCATATTTTTATGAAATTTTCTGTTCGTGAACCGAGTTGTTCGTGAACAGAAGCGTTCGTGAACCGAGGTATCACTGTACAGCTTAAACCGTCAGTCAACTATTGTTTGAATATGCATAGATTCAAGCTCCTGGCAAGAAATAAAGGGTATGAATTCGCTTTCACCGCAGTGTTGCAGAAAGCACTTTCCGTCTTTCCGTAGAGTATACCATTGAAATTAATACAATATAAATACGTGAAAATAATGTTGCCATTTGTCAATCCAGTGTTGGATGAAACCGCTCAAACCCACGCTGTGATGGTCATTGGTGATCACTACACTTGGTCAACGGGGGTTTGCGAAGGACTTGTTCAGATCTCACTCGCCACTCGTGTTTAACTGTGCTTGGGAATACAACTCAGGTCAGACTCGAGACTTTATTTCACCTGATATGAGGCTTATTGGCGAATACAGGACATGGCGGCAGGAATGTGCAAATGTAGTGGGTTGATTGACTAGAAGAGAGCTTTACTCTTTGGTTCTTTCGGTAAAGTCACGTTTCGACTGCAACACAAGCAGTCGTCATCAGGTGTGAAATCCACAGCAAGATAATAGGAAAAAAGTTAGGAAAAATTAACCCGTAAAAACAAAGTTTTTCACTATAAATCCTTTATGTGCGTGGCGGCTAGAGTCCTCTCATCCTCTGGCTTGAGATGGCTGCCACCTATGGGTCAGATGATTGTCTGCCACCATTAAGCAATTGGTAATAAAATATGTATTTATTTTTCCCTAAACAGTGTAAAATTTTGGAAAAAAAATTTTCACGAACATTAATTGTCTCGCACAACGAGTCTGTGTGCAAAATGTCAGCTCGATTGGATCACGGGAAGTGGGTTAAAAAACGACCGAAAGATTTGCACGGTCGTAAGCGCACAAGCAAGCGAACTTAATATAAAGGATTTAAAAACAACCGCCACTTTTTTCAAACTTTCTTGCTGTGGATTTCACACCTGATGACGATTGCTTGTGTTGCAGTCGAAACGTCGTGAGGATTTTTATTGTTTTATATTTTTGTTATTTTATTATTTCCCTTCAACGTGACTTTACCGAAAGAACCAAGATTATGAATCCATACTCTTTAGTTCTTTCGGTAAAGTCACGTAGGAATAAAATAAAAGTGTACGACGTTTCGATCACAACACAAGCAGTCGTCCCCAGTACTGCTGTATGGTGTCCATACATTTTGAGGTTTTTAAAATATAAATTGTATTTGACGACCCGTGCCACTGTTTGCAAGTGTGACTACTGTTGTATCTCCAGGTTAAACTAAATAAAATACCGCCACCCATTAATAAACAGAACAGCGCTGCAAACACAACCTAAACACACACCCACAAGATACTAAACATCTTCTTGGTTCTTTCGGTAAAGTCACGTAGAAGGAAAATAATAAAAATAAAACATAGTAAAATATAATTCTCACGACGTTTCGGCCACAACACAAGCAGCCGTCCTCAGGTGAAGAACAGACGCTGTCTTTCCGACAGACCTGTTCTTCACCTGAGGACGGCTGCTTGCGTTGTGGCCGAAACGTCGTGAGAATATTAATTAATTGTTTAATTATTATTATTTTATTATTTTCCTTCTACGTGATGACTTTACCGAAAGAACCAACAATATGAATCCCTGCAGTCACGAAAGAAGCTTTAAATCGAAAAAAAGATACTAAACATTTACGTGTTTTTATTGTTACGAGTTTGCCCCGCTGCGTAAAAACAAACAAAATTCCTCTCGCGTGCGCTTCTCAGAGAAGGCCGAAGCCCCAACCCCGCACCCCCCCGCCTTGCCTGGAAGCCCCTGCCGAGGGAGACGCACCCAAGGCGGCCGAGCTCCGCCCGCTCACGGGGTGGGGGGGGTGGAAAGGCCGTTCTTCTCGAGTAGTCGTGACGACATTCGCCTTTCAACACTGTTATTATTGTTGTTGTTGTTGTTTGTGCGCGGGCGTTGTTTGCGGCTCGTCTAAACAACTCTGTGCAGGGTGGCGTCGAGTTTCGCCTGAGGCTTGACGAACCGCGAATTGCGTGCGTCCATCGGTGAACGCGTTGGAAAAGGAGCTCGCTGATTGGCCCAATTTGGCAGCCAATGGGCGCGCAGGAATCGTGAGCACGTAAATGACGTCACGCACCGGGGGGAGGGGCGGGGTTTGAGAACTGTGACGTCACGCACCCGGGGGGGGGAGGGGCGGGGTTTGAGAAATGTGACGTCACGCACCCGGGGGGGGGAGGGGCGGAGTTTGAGAAATGTGACGTCACGCACCCGGGGGGGGAGGGGCGGAGTTTGAGAAATGTGACGTCACGCACATCAAAATTCGCAACTTTAAATAAATGTTAATTAAATAGAAGCGTTATAACAGAAATTTTTTTTAAAATAAATTTTCATTATTAACTGTTTTATTATTTTAATTTGCTAAGGTCACCTTTTATTTATTCCACGAAGGAACATTTTTCTTCTCCATGGGAGAATTGAGAAGCATACATTTAGTAATTTTTTGA